GTGACGTTGTTATCTCCACACGAGGTGATAACAGACTTGAATGAAAAATTTAGTCCATATCAAAGGACTTTATTCAAAAATACATGCTTTGGTGCCTTCATTGATTTGAAGGAAATAATTTTACAACCACAGTTGATACACCAGTTGCTGCTCAGACAAGTTAAGCAGCCAAATTCAAATGAAATGTGGTTTAATATCTTTGATGAATTGGTGAGATTTTCAATCAAAGAGTTTTGTTTGATATCAGGGCTTAAGTGTACTGGAAATGGTGATCTAACTTGACATAGAATGAAGAGTCATTTAAAAGAACAATATTTTAAAGATCACGAAAGTGTCACAACAAAAGAGGTTCAAGAAGTGTTTTTAAATTTGCCTGCTGACAACCGTAGATAAAGATATTGTGGATATAGGCATAGTTTATTTGATTACATCCTTTCTATTTGGTACATCCTATCATAAAGGAGCTGATGACTCATTTTTTTTGCCTTGTGGAGTCTGAGGATTTGAATTCTTTTCCATGGGGTATAGAAATTTTTAGTATGACTTTATCATCCCTAAAGAGTGCATTTAATCAAAAAATGAAGAATATTTTTATGGAAAAGAAGTTTTTGGAGTATAGATTGAATGGCTTCCTAGTTTCGTTTCAAGTATGGATTTATGAAACAATTCCTGCTATTGCTCGGAAAAATTGCTGCATGAAGCATGAATCTCAGCGTCCTCGGATGTTGAGTTGGAGTAGCAATCAACATGTGACATCTGTGGGGTTAAGGAAGATCATTTTTGATTTGATTAAAGTAAGTTTTTTACCCTTTTATTGTTTATATTATGTCTTTAGTTTATCTTTTGCTGTTATTGATATGATTATTTATTTTTCAGTTGGATGTGAATCAAATTGTGCCTCTCGAGGCTGAGAAGGGAGAAGAGTATGTGGTTGATTTATTTATTGAAGGTTTGGGTGGTGACCAGGATGATGATAATTTTGAGCATCCTATTGTTGGCCTGAAAAAGTTCATAGATGAAGGAAAAACAAAATCTGTTGACCGAACTAGAAGGTCTACAGAAAAGAAAAACAAAGGGAAGATTATTGAGGTTTGTGGGTATTTTTTCTTTTTATTATTTTCTGTCCACCATGCTCGAAGTTTTTTCAAAGGTTCTTATTATTTTACATTCTTTTCAGCAAGTCCAGCAATCAAATGAAAAAGTTTTGAGACGGCTATCCGAGGTTGAACTGAAATTTGTTCAATCAAATGATGTGATTTTAAAACGAATCTCAGATCTTGAACGTAGAATGCAATCAAATCCAATTGAGAACCAGCTAAAAGATGTTGAAGAAAGGATTAAAACAAATGAAGAAGTGATGGAGCGTCTTCAAATTTTGGAATGCAGAGTAGAGAAGATGTTAGCTGGTAATGAAGGATAGATGAAGGTATTCAAGAGTTATTGAGTTTAGAATTAATACTTGCGACTTTTTGTTGAATTTTGTTACTTTTTAAAATTATTTTCACTTTCTGATGATCTTTGTGACTTTTTTGTAGGATGGTGTGGAGAGTTTACCTAATGAAACGGACCAGATGTTAGCTGGTAATAAAGAAGAAATGAAGGTATTCGAGAGATATTGAGTTTAGAATTCATACTTGCGACTTTTTGCTGAATTTTGTTATTTTTTTAAGTTATTGTCACTTTTTGATGATCTTTGTGACTTTTTTGTAGGATGCTGTGGAGAGATTACTGATGAAACGACAAGATGTTAGCTGGTAATGAAGAACAAACGAAGGTATTCAAGAGTTATTGAGTTTAGAATTCATACTTGCAACTTTTTGCTGAATTTTGTTACTTTTTTAACTTATTGTCACTTTTTTGATTATCTTTGTGACTTTTTTTGTAGGATGGTGTGGAGAGTTTACCTGATGAAACAGACCAGGTGTATAATGACTTCCCTAGTTTTTCTTTAGGTATTGAGTTTGAATTGAGTTGTGGGGAAAAAGATGTAGAGGTGCCTATCAGAAAAAATGACAAGTCAGTTGAAAAAAGTGACGAGGCAGTGGAAAAAAGTCTCAGGGCAGTGGTAAAAAGTGATAAGGCGGTCGAGATGAATTTGAATGAAGAAATAGAATTTCATGAAGATGATTGGTTAAAAGTTGATGATATTGTTGCTCGTAGTTTAGCAAAAAATCAAGAAGTACTTGTGTTTTTATTCTATCAACTTTTTCGTCATAACTTGTGCATGTTTTTACATTAATATAATTTGAATTTGTGTTATTGTTCATGTCCCAGGATGTTGTATCACCATGTAATGAAGGCAGAATTGATTTTTTGGAGGAGATTGAACTAAAGGATGATGTTTGGGAGAAAGTTGTGGAAGTAACAGCTGCAATTGAAGCTGAAACTGAAATTGAAGAGGGAAATGCTCGAATCATTGATATTGATGATGAGAGCCCAGACATGCATCTGAAAAGACAAAAGAAACCCGGAGTGCTTCTTCAGTCTCCCTGGGTCAATGAATTTGATTCTACATCGGGGACTAAGAAACGTGTTGTTAAAGGCACTTTTGCATTCCCGGTTGGTGTTGGCCCTCCAATGACACATGATGTTGATGCTTTTGAACTTTGGTTTAACAAGGGATTGGTAAAGAAAAATAAGTAAGTTGTTACTAATATATGTTGTTTGTGAATTTTTTCCAGTACAGTAACTTTCATGTGACTTTTTCCATTTTGTTATGTAGGAAAAAACATTTCAATGATGAAAATTCCGTTATCAATCCATGCTTTTATTTTTGTGACATTGAAATCTCTACAAAACAATGGTGGTATGAGTTGTTTATTCCAAACGAATGTTTGGAAGATACAGTAAGTTATTTTATATGTTTTTGTTTTTAAGATTATTTTGTTTATTTTGTTTATTACTATTGTTGATTTTGTCATTTTTCTCTTTTTTGTAGCATATTGATGTGTGTTTCTATTATTTAAGAAAGTTGTTAAGATATGGAGAAGGGATAAACATAAAGGCTACAACCACAGATTTTCCGTTTGATAGCCAAATGAGAGGCCTTTACGCCGACTTTTGCCAAGATAAGTCAGCTCTAAAAAAGCAGACTTCTCTTCTATCATATGTTATTGGGTTGTATATGCCGTGCAACAAAAATTGGAACCTCGTTGACCATGTGCTTATTCCAATTAGAATGTCCAATTCAGCTCATTGGATTTTGTGTCATTTTAACATTCAACATATGTGTCTTAATGTATATAAATCGTACAACAAGGTTGTGAGAAAGGCATTAGTACTTGAGGCTATTAAACCATTTTATGCTATTATTCCTCATCTTCTCTTTCATACTGGCTTCTTTGAGGGAAAAGCCATTTCAGAAGAAGAACCTTTGAAACCATTAGTTGTGAAAATGGTTCCAAAACTTCCACAACAAAATAATCGGTAAGTTTATTTCTGAAGATGTTTTTTTTTTCATCTGACATTCTAGTATGTAATTATCTAAAGTACTTTTCATTATTTCATGCAGTGGAGATTGTGGAATCTATGTAATTAAGTATGCCCAGTACTTCATTAATGGAATGCTAAATGAGATGCCAAAGTCTTTTAATGTTCCACATCTTAGAAGAAATTGGCAGCTCAACTATATGCTTATGGAAAGAAGAAGCAAGAAGAGGAATATGATACAGACAATGAATGGGTGTCAAAGGAGATGGAGTAGCTATATCCTGATGTGATAGAGAAGTGGGTGATCCTGATGTGATAGAGAAGTAGGTGATTTTGAGGAAGTGAAGAAACATGTCTTGTTTTTGTAATGACGTGCCTTCATTTGTAATGACTGATTTGATTTGGCTGGTAGTTTTGATGCTTTGTATATAGTAACTGATTTAGGGAAAAGTGGCAATGTTAATGGTGGTAGACAACTTCAATTGTTAATGACCAATTCTTTTACAACATCAATGGAGCAGAGATTGGTGATGTAGCTTCTATTATTCTTTAAACACAATAGTTCTTGTATGTCAAAAAAGTGACATAATGTCACTTTTTCAACAGAAAAGGGACACTGCATCACTTTTTTACCGTTATGGATCTCTTGCTTTTGCTTGAAGATTTGTTAGAACTTGAGTTTGTGTTAGATTTATTTTTGAGAGAACTTGTACTAAGCTCTAAAGAAAAGCAATTAAGCTCGTGACTCCAGCAATTAAGCTCGTGACTCCCGGGTGGGGGGCACGAGCAAAGGAGCTCCTCACTCAGAGCTGATGACTATGAAAAGTGACACTGCGTCACTTTTTTTAACAGTGTCACTTATGTTTTAACAAAAGCAGCATTATTTGTGGAATTTTGAACACACTTACAATGTCAATGGTGATAGAAAGGTGACATAATGTCACTTTTTTCAACAGAAAAGTGACATTATGTCACTTTTTTCAACAGTGTCACTTATTTTTTAACAAAAGCAGTATTATTTGTCGAATTTTGAACACACTTGCAATGTCAAGGAATAATGTCACCTTTTTAACAATAACTTAAAGACAAATGTCACTTTTTCGACAGAAAAGTCACATAATGTTACTTTTTCGACAGAAAAGTGACATAATGTCACTTTTTTTAACAATGTCACTTATTTTTTTAACAAAAGCAGTGTTATTTGTGAAATTTTGAACACACTTACAATGTCAATGGAGGAAGGAATAATGTCACATTTTTAACAATATGTTGCCTGACTGTAGCTTTAAAGACAATAGTTTCTTGTATGTCGAAAAAGTGACACAATGTCACTTGTCAATTAACCAAATGTGGATCCAATGTCAATGGAGTATGAATACATTGTCACATGCACATACTTACAACAAAGAATTTTTTAACAAAATCCATCAATTTCTACTATCACTTTTTTCTAACAAATTCACATACACAATAAATTTCAAAATCGACATTTAGCTTAAAAGTATTTTTACAATTCTTTGAATATTTGAATTGAAAAACGAACAAAACAAAAAATATCAAATAATCTAGTTTCATATATCTTCTAACTTCCTTTTCTTTTGTGGTTTCTTTTTCACCTTTGGCGGATTTTGACATGATCTACGATTGTGACCATAATTCCCACATCTTCCACATTTTGCGCTTTGAGTTTTCTCTCCTTTTGATGGTATTCTTTTTTCTTTAGGTCGTCCAGATTTTCTTTTTGGGTTAGGAGCCAAGATTATTCTTGCTCTTACCTCATCTGGTACATTCCACTCATTATGATCTCCTAGTGGAAAAATTGATGCACTATATGTTTGAATATACATATTTGTTGTATAAAATACGAAACAATATGAATATGAATCCTCCTTTATCTTTGCAATAATCGCAAGTGCATGTGCAAATGGAATCTTGTCCACTTGGAAATGGTTGCATGTGCATGTTCTTTCTTTCATGTTCACCAAATATGAGGCACAACCATCATTAACTTGGTACAATATTGAACTTGAAGTTGATACCTATGTGCATAATATAAAAAAATAATCTATCAATAAATTTGTCACTATTTTATATGAAAGGAAGATTTAAAGTGAAAATTCAATATGAATAGAGGATACAAATCATGTTACAATAGAAATCTTGATGTGCAATAACAAAACAGCAAGTTATAACTTTTTACCTTCATTTTCTTTGACTCCACAGAATTTTCTCTCAGTTTTTTCTCTTGCTTGGTGGCAAGTGTTGTGAAGGTTGCTCGTGCATCATTTATATGCTTCACAAACCATTCTTGTAACAAATATCTTAACGATTCCAATAAAGGCTCTATTGGACAACCTTTCATTGCTTTTGTTACCGAGTTTACCGATTCAACTATGTTTGAAGTCATTGTAGAAAATATGTTGTTTGTCATGTAAGCCCTGGACCATTTCTCATAACCAATATCTTTCTGCACAAAGAGAATTCAAAATATTAACAGAAAAAGTGACTTTCTA